TAGCCCTTCCTGGAATCTCCAAACCAGAAACTCTTGGGAAGCATCGGACAGTCAGGGACGGGGACGGTGTGTGTGTGTGTGTGTGTGTGTGTGTGTGTGTGTGTAGAGTGAAGTAGAAGTGATAAAAAACCTCCCTATAGGTCCAATCCTTAGTACAGAGAAGGAGAAAGTTCATTATTCAACATGCAGACAGGGACCTTCATAATGGCCTAGTATGGGAAGCTAGGATGATGGGAGAATGTGCTGCATAGGCGCTGTTTGGATTGGGAAGGACTTGTAGACAGGAAATGAAAGTGCCTTCACAGCAGAAATGAGTCTGTGGGACCCTGGGGTGCAGGAGGTCAGTCTGAGTGCTGTGGAAGCAGAAAGAGTCATAGAACTACCCATCCCCCTGTTAGACAGAGGCTGGATTAGCTGGAGTTAATCTCTGATGGATTGGTTTTTATGAGCCAGAGAGAAGCGTTCAGAAAGAAGCTAAGCAGCAGGGATCTTAGGGCTGGCGTGGGGCTTGAATTCAATCTTTACAGCGTAGAATAGGCTCTGACAGGTCAGTGATTTAGACTGGCAAGTCACTGGGTTTCTAATGTAGAGTCATCAGGAACATATGAACAAAAAGGGGAAGCCAACCACGGGGCCTGTCTGGGTTACTTGAATGCAAATGAGGCAAGATTTGTGTTGAGCCTGGGTAGGAGCTGGGGATGACAGAAAGCTAAATGCTGCCCAGGTGAGCCCCAGAAGGGGCTTAGACCTTGAGCAATACTTCACCAAAGGTGTGCATGTGGTGGGTACTGAGTGGGGGCTGGACAGGGGGCTCAGCAGTTCGGAGCACTGGCTGCTCTTCCGGAGGACCCACATTCTGGCTTACAACCTCTTTAGCACCAGTCCCAGGGCATCCAGTGCCCTCTTCTGGCTTCTTTGGGTATCAGGCACCAAGTGATTCATACATACAGACAAAATATCCATACAAAATTAATAATTAAATTTCAAAAAAGAAGTAGTGAATGACAAAAAAATACAGGTGAAAATGTTAAGCTTGTCCCGGGGTGCACAATTACTCCCCTAGTTATGTTGTGTTTGTTTCTCCCCCGCAAGAAAGCATATGGAAGGCGAAGCTTCGTTCAGCTTCTTCAGATGCGGATGATGGAGAAGTAACAAGGTCTGAGAACTGAATAGAAGTGGGGAGCCGGTACCAGTGACACACAAGAACACGTACAACACTCTGGCTCTAGGCTGGGCCAAGCAGTGTAAGCCAGCCTTGCTAAGCCTGTTAGACGCAGGTGGATGCATAATGGCCCCACAACAGGGGGTGGGGAGCAGATGAGGAGATGGAATGATGTATTGAAAATGACGGTGCATTATTGTGGAGGGCTGGCTAAGAATGGCCCCCCATAGGCTTATATATTTGAGTGCTTAGTCATCAGGGAGTGGCCTTACTTGAGAAGGATTAGGAGGTGTGGTCTTCTTGGGATGGCTGGAGGAAATGGGTCACTGGGGGTGACCTCTGGGGCTTCAAAAGCCTGAGTCAGGCCTAGTCTCTCTCTTTTCCTCTTGCCTGCAGATCCGGATGTAGAACTTTCAGCTACTTCTCCAGCATCCTGTCTGCCTGTGTGCCATGATAACAGACTAAACTTCTGAAACTGCAAGCCAGCCCCAGTTAAATGCTTCCTTCTATAAGAGTTGTTGTGGTTGTGGTGTCTCTGCACAGCAATAGAACGCTGACTAAGACCATTGCGGAGATCTGGATGAGACGGCGGTCTCCCATCCCGCCTGCTGTACCTGACCAACACTGCTCATTGATTTAACAACTGATGCAGTGGTGGCATCTTTCACGTGGCATTGGAGCTTGCTAACGTTTTATTCTAACTGTGCCCTTGGCTGCTGACTCTCAAGACCAATTGGCACTTGTTTGGAACAGATGGTAGTGGGCCTTCAGAGAGACTGTCTATCTTCTATAAAAAGTTTCATTATATAATGCTAAACCTTGAATATCTTACAGATTTGGAAAGGCATCTGGAAGAATGGTAAAAAGCAGCAATTAAAGAGCTCAAGGGAAGACACTCTGGGGGTGGAGGAGGCACACCCAGAAGCCGGAAGGTTACCGAACAGAACCATGTGCGAGACGTGGATAACCACCCTAGAAATCCTTGGCTGGGGAAGCCCTGAGGTCCCTCAAACCATAAACATTATTGCCACTGCTGTTGATTGCATTCCAGAACTAGGTAGCAAGTTCTTGTTGAAGACACCGCACACTTTGACTGGAGGACAGAGAGAAATGAGAATGTAGTTGACCTGGAAACCTATTCCCTGCCTTTGTTTTCAGTGCTAGACGTTGTTATCCTTACTGCCAGGGGAGAATTGTTGACAATCCTGCTGTTATTGACCCTGTGATAGTGTTATTGACACTACCAGTGTAGTGATTGGTGAGATGTGGCCGTGGTGGAATAGTGACACACTGTCATGGGTGTGGCTAGTTGCTTTCCAGTTGGATTGAAGTCCTGCTGCATGGGAGAGGACTCATATTTAGTATGATTAAGCCACAACAAAAACTGGTTGCCAGAGAAGTTTCTGGCTCCAAGGTCCAGGGAAGCTATTGCTGCTATTACATGAATATGATATGCCTATCAAATTGCCTTCTAGACGTTGATGCTTGTATCCATAGATTACTATTGCTGTCAGCCTTACTTATGGAAGGGGATTTCTTTCTTTTTTTGATTTTTTGCTGTTGGCAGTAGTTACTGTGGAAACTTATAACTAGCTGTTAAGAATAAGTGACAACAGACACAGAGAAACAATTAATAAATGGGACCTCCTGAAACTGAAAAGCTACTGTAAAGCAAAGGACATGGTCAACAAGACAAAATGACAGCTTACAGAATGGGAAAAGTTCTTTACCAACCCCACATCAGACAGAGGTCTGATCTCCAAAATATACAAAGAACTCAAGAAATTGGTTATCAAAAGAACAAATAATCCAATAAAAAATGGAGTACAGATCTAAACAGAGAACTCTCAACAGAGGAATCTAAAATGGCTGAAAGACACTTAAGGAAATGCTCAACATCCTTAGCCATCAGAGAAATGCAAACCAAAGCAACTCTGAGATTCCATCTTACACCTGTAAGAATGGCCAAGGTCAAAAACACTAACAACAACTTATGCTGGAGAGGTTGTGGGGAAAAGGGACAACTTCTGCATTGCTGGTGGGAATGCAAGCTGGTACAACTCCTTTGGATTGTCAGTGTGGCGATTTCTCAAAAAATTAGGAATCAACCTTCCTCAAGACCCAGGAATACCACTTTTGGGTATATATCCAAAGGATGCTCAATCGTGCCACAAGGACATGTGCTCAACTTTGTTCATAGCAGCATTGTTTGTCATAGCCAGAACCTGGAAACAGCGTAAATGCTCCTCAATTGAAGAAAGGATAAGGAAAATGTGGTACATTTACACAATGGAGTACTACACAGCAGAAAAAAATAAAGACATCCTGAAATTTGCAGGTAAATGGATGGAGCTAGAAAACATCATATTGAGTGAGGTAACCCAGACCCAGATAGACAATTATCACATGTACTCACTCATAAGTGGTTTTTAAACATAAAGCAAAGAAAACCAGCCTACAAATCACAATCCAGAGAACCTAGACAACAATGAGGACCCTAAGAGAGATGTACATGGATCTAATCTTCATGGGAAGTAGAAAAAGACAAGATCTCCTGAGTACATTGAAAGCATTGGGACCTTGGGAGAGGGTTAAAGGGAAGGGGAGAAGCAGGGAGGGGAGCAGAGAAAAATATAGAGCTCAACAAAAATCAAATATATATATATATATATATACTAGAGTGGAGGTGGCAAATGACTTTAATCCCAGGACTAGGGTGGCAGAGGCAGTCATATCTCTGTAAATTTGAAGCCAGCCTGGTCTACAGAGCTAGTTCCAGGATAACCATGGTTGTTATACAGAGAAACAACTGTACAACTGTTTTGGAAGAAAAAAAAAAGGAAAGGAAAGAAAAAAGGAATAAGTGACAATTGTGGCTTAGTGGCCCAGTGAAGTGGAAGAAAATAACCACATATCCTGGTTAGTTTTGTATCAACTTGACACAAGCTACAGTCAAAAGTGGGAAGGCAAATCTAGGCTGAGGAAATGCCTCCATCTATGCTGCCCATTTGCAAGACTGTAGGGCATTGTCTTAATTGATCATTGATAAAGACCCAGTCGGCTGAGGGTGGTGCCACTCCTGGTCTGAGTGGTATAAAGAAGTGAGATAAGTAACGTGTGAGGATCAATCCAGTAAGCAGCACGCTGCCAGGGCTTCTCCTTGAGTTCCTGCCTCTAGGTCCTGCCTTGAGTTCCTGCCTCTAGGTCCTGCCTTGAGTTCTTGCCTCTAGGTCCTGCCTTGAGTGCCTGCTTCTAGGTCCTGCCTTGAGTTCTTGCCTCTAGATCCTGCCTTGAGTGCCTGCCTCTAGGTCCTGCCTTGAGTTCTTGCCTCTAGGTCCTGCCTTGAGTGCCTACCTCTAGGTCCTGCCTTGGCTTCCCTCAGTGGTGAAGTGTGACCTGAGAATTACGAGATGACATAAACCCTTTCCTTTACAAGTTGCTTTTGGTCATGGTGTTTTATCACAGAAGTAGAATCCTTAACTAAGACACCACCTATCTATATCAGCCTCTGAGGCTCAGGGAATATCACTGAAGAAGAGGTTCAAACAAACAAAAGAAAAAACAAAAGAGCTGGAGGAAGGGGTGGAGTGTTGTCTATATCTTCTCTGAATTGAAATATCCCTTCCTGGAAAGAGGAGGAAGGCTTATGACATATAGAAAGCTAATGAAAGGTGTCGGTTATGAAACCTACAAAATATAAGAAGCCCAGAGAGTCGTAAGACTCATGAGGCCCTTTCCAAGTATATGCAAGCAGTCACCAATTGCCAGCAAAGGTGGATCTGCAGGACAGAGTGGTTCTGTGTGAGCTCTGGGTAGAGAATTCCAATGACGCCTCCTTCATGTATTATCATCTAAGCCAGAGGTGGGCGTTTAGGTGACACAGCTGCCTTCAAGTTACCCATGCACCTGCAAGCAGCCCCAATAAACTCGTTGGTTCAGCAATCTAGACTCAGGTGAAATCATTTCTTTACTTTGTCCTTGTTGCCTTATAAGTATCGACTGGACATTTGTTCACTTTTCCGGGGAACAGTCATACAATACCAGGCCAAAGACTAAAGATGTCACAGTCTTAGTTGGATTCTTATCAAGCTGTCCAGGAAGCCTATGCCAAAGATTTTTCATACCTGTTTAATGATAGTGACCGCAGTGGTAGGTGGTAACAGCAACGACAGCGAACCAACACTAGACTATGGCGTTTTCCATTAGAACTGCCTGATTTCCTATCACGGTGGTTTTAAGAATGGGCAAAGAGGACAAAGACCCTTTGGACCTTTTTCTCCTAGGCTCAGCCCTTAGTGTTCTGGGCTCTCAGGAGAGAGCCGACTTCCATTCTTTTAGTGTGAAAGAGAGTCTCCTTGGCTGAATAGCACATCTGAGAACTGAGTCAAGTCTGGCTTCCCTCCGTGGACTGCATGTCTCCCTGGGGTTGCGGGAGAAGCAGGGGTGGTTGAGCCAGCACACCTGACATACTTCCAGGCACTCCTCAACATGTGTGTCTGCGTCCCTGGATGCTGCAGGAAACACCGGGGTTGTGTCCAAGGAGGCCATTGCCCTGTGTCTGACTTCGACGTATCAGGCAGTGGGCAGGTATGAGGGGAAGCTGCTTTTGGATGTGGCAGACAGCAGTGTTACATCTCAGACTAGAATAAAAGACAAGACAATGGCAAAGGGAAAGTCAGATGTCCTGACAAAGTCATGACAAGGTCAACATTTTCCTTTCCTAAGATCATTTTGCTCGCCCGCTCTCCCTCCAGGGGCCAGGTTAGCATCTTCTCCATTGGAAAGGGTCCAGCAGTCTTATTCTAGTTGTAGAGAATGATAAAGCTCGGGTGGGTTTTGCACCCTGAGGTACTTGTATTCCACAGATCTTACTAACCCAAGAATCTCCACTTTAATAGAGAGATCTCAGGCTGTCAGCTTGCTGGGAGAGAAATGCATTTGGGATGTAAAAGCTTGTCAGAGCTATTTAAATCAAATCTAAGGAGGATGCATGCCCTTAGGGGAGATATTTGGAGGGAGGGCTCCCCGCGGGACTGAAAAACTCACCTTCCGCACATTGTAGATCCAGTCGAGATAGGCGGTGACCTTGGTGTACACTCCAGGGTTAGTTGGGCTCCCACAGCCATAGCCCCAGCTCACAATGCCTACTATCTGCCAGTGGATAGAGTGGTACATCAAAGGCCCACCACTGTCACCCTGTGAAAAGCAAGGACAGGAGCTGTGGGGGAGGGCAGGCCAGGTGAAGGGGGTGGCCTTCTCCTCCTGTTCCTGAACTGGCCCATCGGCTGCCTCCCTTGCACTCCCTATGGCTCTGTGTACTGACTTCTCTACCCTCCTTCGTGCTCGTGGTACCCAGTGTTCTTTACTCTTATGGCCCATCTGTGGACAACTAAACTGAGGGCAGCTGCCTGCCTTCTCAGAGGGTCATAAGTCACACTAACAACTTGAATTTTGTTTAGCCCGGCAGTTCCCACATCGATCGAGCCACCAATGGAATGTCTGTTTATGTTTGATCCCGTTCTGGATAACCGAGTTTCAATTAACTAGGCCAAAGTTCCTTGCCTACCCCGCCCCGTCCCCAGGAAGTTTACAATCAAATAGGTAGGCAGAGCCAATAAGTGAGCAGATGACAAAATAAAGCAGTGAAACCCACACTCATGGCCTCTCTGTGAACTTAGTAACACTGCTGCGGCCTGATTGCCTGCTCTCATAGCCTCTCTGTGGCCACCAGGAGTTCCTGGAGTGCAGACACTGTCTCTAAATCTGCTATGTTCGTGGCCCACAAGAGATGGCTCAGAGACAGCTAGCTCTTGAATGAGGGTTTTAGTGTCAGGGGATGGGAATAGGCTGAGAAATTTGAATAAAAAGGGCTCCAAAAATTCTCTGGAGGTATGGGATGGTAAGAAGGTACATAGGAATTGCTCAAAAGTCCTGGTGGTCATGGAGATGGGAAGAGGGGGCATGTACCAAAGCTCACCTAGCCTGAGATGGTCTTTCTTGTAAAGTATAGCAGTACACAAGTAGTCACAGAGAAAACAGAGTTGGGGGCAGTCCTCAAAGGGATCACAGATGATGAGAAATGAGGGTTGGAAGGAGAAGGTGGCAATGCGATCTTTACAATATACATTTAAATTTTCTGCTCATGTAGCTCCGTCTCTTCATCTACCCACCCATCCATTCTTCTATATTTACCAGACCTTCCTTAACCACAGAGTGCTACAATCTGCAAGGATTCATGTGGGCATCCACTTTGCAGGTTTTCATATGTTTCCAGGACCCACATCCCTACTCACAGGACTCCCATGGTCTTTGGAGGACCCACCTGGCAGGAGTCCACTCCGCCTTGTAGGGTACCTGCACACAGCATATCAGCGGTGACGTCCCCCTGGTAGGCATCCTCGGCATTGCACCGTGCGCTGTCAATGACCTGGACAGATGCTTGCAGCAGCACATCGGACATCTTCCCTGGGAGGTTGGAAACACATTCCCTCATTCTTGTCTTTACTCCCAGCCCCCGTTAATTTTCTGGACCACCAAGACTCTTTGATGCCTAGAAGTTTGGCAACCTGGTCAGCTAGGATGGGCTTCTCTGAAGGATGTTCCTTTTTCTTATTACTGATAGGGAGGTGGGGGGAAGCTAATAAAATACCTTCATGCAAGGGATCTGCGGTCCTGAGCCCAACACTCACCACCACTTTGCTCTGTAAAGCCCCATCCAATGACCCAGAGGGGTGTGCCTGGGATGAGCTCTTCATCAAAGAAGGGCAGGCAGATGGGCCTGACGGTGCCTGCCAGGAATAGAGAGAAAGACTCTATATTAGGGTTGATTTTTTGTTTTGTTTTCTATATTTTGTGCTTTTACAAGTTGGGGGTTTTGCTTTTTTGCTGGTCTAAGTGTGACTAGATTAGCTAATTCCTAGAGAGAACAAGCTACTTGTCAGTGAGGCCCTCAGTATCTAAATCTGGAGTTCACACCCTTGACCTCATTCACCATCACCCGACTCTTATGAATCAAGTCAATATTTTTCTCTGCCCTAAACCACCCCAGAGCTAGATAGTAAACCTCTAGAGACCAATCTCTGCAGTCTAGACAACTATTCTCATTCTCCAGTTTCAAGCATGCTTAAACTGGCCTACCAAAGCTCCTTCCTGTAGTCTGGAACCACAGACAACACTTGGGCTGTCCCCTGCCCCGCCCCCATCCTTTCTGTCTTCTGACACAAGCGTACAAGCACACACATAAACACACACCAAGAAAAACCCAGGAAACGCTAGGTTCCTTGTTCCTGGAGGAACGCAAGCAGAAGCACAGTGACCTTTGTCAGGGTTACTGTGCCAGGTCTTGAGCACTGGTCAGGGGTAAGGAACGGACTAGACAATTCCTTAAAAAAGGCCCTAACAACTCCAAGATCAGATGACTTGGATCTTCCAAAGGGAACAAACAGACTTGAAGAATCTCCACCAGGGCCAGGTGTGAACGTTAGTTGGCAGTCAGGGCAGGTCCCCTGGCACCAGAAATGTTGAGATGATATATTAGCTGGACACCCGTGGGCGAGCTGAGGTCTTAGAAAGAACATGACGTGTCCAAGGCTGCTTGTTTAGCAGGGTGGGGTGAGGACAATTTGAGGGGCTCTGCTCCCAGGGACCACCTCTCACCTGTGAATGTGAGCGGCACCTGCAGCTTGACGAGGGCAATGTCCTTCTCTCTGGAGTTCAGGGCATTTTCCTTGGTGACGAAGATCTTGGCCACAGACAAGGAGGAAACGTGGTCCAGTTTGCTTGAGCCGACTTTCACCTTCCAGTTGGACACGTCAAGATACTTCCTAGGGGTAGAGGCGGCTAGATCAGAGGGGAGCCAATCACACTGAGGCTTTGCCTGGGGCTTGGTCTCCAAGTCTGCTGGGAGATCATGTGACTGGGACCGGAGTGGCGGAGGTGGCTGTCTGAGGAGCCACCTTCCTGAAGCCAGATTATAAAACGAAATACAATTCTGTTTCTTATTAAAAGGGCCCAAGGAAACTTCCACCTGGAGGGCTTGGGAAGAGGCTGCCCCATTGCGGGGCCTTGGGGTCCTGCCAGGTTCTCCTGCACGCTTGGTCTTGTCTATGCTGCTTGCATTGAGGTCTGTTGAGTTGTGGGCTTGCGTTCATTCTTCTCCTTGCCAGGTCCTGCCTATGCACAGGGAACTTTCCCCAGGAGCAGATTTAGAGCGCTTGTCAGTCTCACAAAGGTAAAAATCCCCTGAGCTAGACTGAGGTACCTCAAAGGGGACAATGGGTCTATGTGATGCCCAGGATCTGAAGGGAGTGGTTCTTGGTACCCACTGGATGCTGAGGGAAATGGACGAATGAAGATGAAGAGGGCCTGAGTGTAACCCTTTCCCGAGGCCTGGCCGGCTCCCTCTCCGCTGGACCAAATGATAATCTATAGCTGGTTCAGTTTCTGGACATAGGGAGTGACTCCAGACCCTGGGGACCATGCCTTGGAAGACTGGCAAGGAAGAGTCAAGGTCTTGGAAGCACAGATGTGTGGGGAGAACTTCTGGAGTATGAGTGAAACCGATATGCAGTGGTGTGAGGACCCTGGGTACCTGCGGCTTTTCACCCATCAAAGGTCAACCTTGGGGACCAGCACTCTCTGCTCAGATCCCCAATATCTAACAAGGACATCACGACCAGTGTCTCATTATCTCATTGCTGCACCCCAGCAATGGTGTCCAGGGGATCCTGGTGGCCATGGCCTCTGTCCCTCCTGGCCTCCTCGTAGCGGGAGTCTTACCTGAAGCAGTGAGCTGCTGTGAGGATCCAGTTGGGATCTAGGATGCTTCCACCACAGACATGCTGCTTGTCGTACTGGATGCTGACCTGCCATGGCCAAGAATCCACAGAGGCCTCCACTCCACCCACTATACGAGGAGCCTTCAGGCTCTTTCCACATTCTGGACCCGGCCAGGAGAAAGGGAGGAGGGAGAAGTCAGGCTTCTGGGGAGTCTCCCCCACAAAGCCCTGGATTGGTACTGGATGGGGAGAACCCACCTTTGCCATTGGTGAGTGGACCATTCATTGGAGGATAATGGACACGACGTCACAGGTTTGCCTGACCACCCCCCTACTAGGTGTGTGTTTAGGAATTTAGATTTTTGAATATGGGTATGTTCATTGTGCTTGCAATTTATCATCTACAGAACAAACAAAGATGCAGAATCACGAATTCTGAAAGCCCTGACTAAACAGAACAGTCACCAGACACTCCCCACTGAGTAAACAAATAGCCAGTTACAAGTTACTTTGGTATCAGGAAATTAGATAAAAATTTTAAAAACTGGGTTTCTTCCTTCTGTTAAGGGAGATTGCAGTGATGATCTTTCCAAGGGGACAGCCTTTGTACCGGTTTTCTTCTGCCTGGCCTTGTACCTGCCAAATGCCATTTGGTCCAACCCTACTTTCATCTTGCCCCCTTGCTCATTCACTTAGAGCTTCTTGGTTGGCAAGGTGTGGAAGGATCTAGACGCCTCTGGACTGCTTTCCATGGTCTCTATATAAAGCTCTGTCCAGATCGTGACCTACTTGGAAGTCCCTAGAATACTTGGGCTATAGTTTGAGTGTATCTCCTGAAAGGTGGCAGCTTAGCCCTGAATGTGGTGGATATTAGGTGGTAGGTCCTTTAAGAGGCAGGGCCTAGTGGTTTTTATATCATCAGAGTAGCCCACCCTCTGAGGTGGATAAATATTTTTCTGTGCTCCTGCGCTCTAGTGAGGATTTAGGACAAGACAGAGTCCACCCCTGAATTGCTGTCTGGTTCCTTGCAGCAGCCATATTCCTTGGTGAGCCCCCAACCAGCATTAGGGCCCCACTCGAGGACAAATCAAGTTGGCTTTCTGGTCTTAGACCTCCAGGTTCTAAAACTGTAAGCAAAGCAAAACTCTTCTTGACAATGTTATCCTGCCTCAAGTACTTCATTACAGAAATAAAAGTCTAGTACACTCAGGTTTGTGGGTTGTGAGCAGAGTGTGGAAGGGAGTTCTTAGCATTAACCACTCGAAGGAATGCTGATCTGTAAGCCAAAATAGTGGGACCTAGGGACGAGGAGAGCAAAGAAGATGAAGGCCTTTCTTCCTGCACACTGCTGGTCGAGGTCCCACACCCTCAGAGATGGGGTGTACTCACCCAGGCAGCTCAGGGAAACCAGGAAGTGGCAGGGCCTGAAAGAGAGACAGGCTGGAACTCAACCCTTGCGACATTACTGTTTCAACCCAGTCCCCTAGTCCTGGAGAACCCCAGGACCTCCATCATGGACCCGTGTAGAACTGCATTAATACTCAGTGGGGTTCGATTTGACACAACATCCCCATTGCTGTGCATGCACCCTACCATGTATGGAGCCCTGGCAGGGCAAAGGCAGCCCTAGGTGGAGAAGCAGTACAGGCTGTTGTGGAGCATTTAACTAGGCAAGGATGCGTTACATTTGTCTATGCTGTGGTATATTACTTTAACTATGTGAAGGGGTGTTACACTTGTTTCTGCTGTCTTTGTTAGCTATGCAAAGATGTGTTACATTTGTTTATGCTGCATTTGTTCAATTCTTTAAAGATGTGCTGTATTTGTTTCACCTTGTCTGCTTAAGGCACCTGATTGGTCTAATAAAAAAACTAAACAGCCAATAGCTAGGCAGGAGAAGGATAGGAGGGGCTGAATGGTGAGCAGAGAGAATAAGTAAGAGAAATCTGGGGGGAGGGGGAGAGAAAGAAGAGGGGGGAGGAGAGAGAGAAAGAGACAGACAGACAGACAGACAGACAGACACACACACACACATGCTTGGGGCCAGAAGTCAGGCAGTCGCCAGTCAGATGTGAGAAGCAGTGAAAGTAAGATATACAGAAAGAAAGGTAAAGGTAAAAAGCCCTGAGGCAAAAGGTAGAAGAAGAGAAACAGGTTAAATTCTAAGAGCTAGTGAACAAACATAAGATAAGGCCAAGCATTCCTAACTATAAAAAGTCTCCATGTTATGATTTGGGAGCCGGTTGGTGGCCTAAAAGAAAGCCTGCTACAACCGGCCACCCTGCAGCCCTTTCAAACAGAACAGGATTTTGAAGGAATCACACAGATAGTCTCTACCAGTCTTGTCCCTCTCCAGGTGGGCTGTGGTAAGCATCTGTCCTGTATCCTGAATGCTAAGAAGACAGCTGCTCTTGGCCTCTGCTGCCTTGCAGCAGGGTTTGTCTGGATTCGGCTGTGCTCTAAGGAGCCGGGCGAGGCGAGGGTGGAAGAGCCGCCTTGGGAGCATCAGAGGTGCTGCTTTGGCCTGAGGGAATTATGGGAAAGGACACCGCGCCTTTTGAGCTCTTGCCTATCAGGCAACTCATCAGGGAACATGAAGTAGCCGTGGAAGGAACAATTTTGACTGTTCAGACAGATAGAAGGTCATTGTTCATCCCTCTGCCTTTGAACAAGACAACGCACATTGTATTAAAAAAACAAAAAGAGTCAACAGATAATACCCTGTGACCCCAAAATGGAATTCCATGACCCTGCATGTTTAATGATCTGCTTGGCTAGTTCTTCCTTGTGTCTGTCTCATGTTCCCCTTGCTGCAGCCATGCGCGGCTTTCTGGTTGTAGTTAGCCTCTGTAGGTTAGGAGGGGTCCCTCACTTACCCAGTTAAATTCTTCACCTGAAGTTCCTGGCTGTTTCCCGTGACTTGAGCTACCGTGAGATTCTGGTCTGGGCCGATCGCCACTGCTCCGAAAGTGGGTTGACTGTGGAGGGAGAAAACCGTGAGCTGGGGCCGAGGCTAGCACTGGATGGTGGGGAGAGCCCCCAGCCCCCTGGGGAGAGAGAGAGAGAGAGAGAGAGAGAGAGAGAGAGAGAGAGAGAGAGAGAGAGAGAGAGAGAGAGAGAGAGAGAGAGAGAGAGAGAGAGAGAGAGAGAGAGAGAAAGAGAGAGAGAGAGAGAGAACAACACAGGTGGGCTGGGTTAGTGGACAGGGCTGGCTTTGCTGGATCACAGCAACGTTCCTGTGATCTCAGCCCAAGGCTGGCTGCCCTGGTCTTGCTTTCTTGGTCCAGAGCCCAGAGCTCTGCAGAAGGGCTAAGGGCCCACTTTCCTCACACCCGGCTCTCTCCCTGCCTCAGATGCCCCAGCATCTCTTTAAGTTCACACCAGCAGGAACAAAGAAGCAAAGGGTCCCAGATACATTGTTGTCTTAGCACAGAGTGAACTGGAATGGGGATATCTGGTTTTCCAGGAAACCTGGTTTATCTTCGACAGTGTTTTCAAGACAGGAGAAGATCCATTTTCTCACAGGAGTCTAGGTGGAACTTCCTGAAATTTGGACTGCCCTCTCCCTTCCCTTCTGCTAATCCATGTTTGTCTTCTTTCAAGCCCTGGATTTAAAACTTCCTCCTCCAGGAAGCCTTCCCTAATTACTCTGCTCTCTGGCCCTTTCTTCACCAACCCTGCCTCTTCCAAATCTCTCCTCCTAGTACAAACTTTGCATAGAGATCTGGGATCATCTGGCTTGCTGGCCCACACTCAGGTAGGAATGCAAGCACCTTCCTGAGTGAACCAGGCTCTAGACCTGGGATGATCAGAGGCTGCTATCCTCAAGACCTAAGTTCTTATACACTGGCTGTGACACCAGCTTGTAGGTCACTTTTGTCTTGTGGCTCTCTCTGAGTCCTGATTTTCTCTTCTATAAAATGAAACACGAGTCAGGGGTTCCTCCTACATTGGACTTCCTATGGTTTTGTGTTCCCAGATCAGAAAGGCTTCCTTCTAATCCAGGCAGAGGAAAGAAAATAAAGAGACCTGAGCAGAGAACTCCATCCAAGGAGAAAGGGTGCTGGTGGCAAGCACACCCAGGAGAGCGAGTCTTTGCTCACCAAGTCCGGCCTGGTGAGAAATTTAATGAACTCAGGGCTATCATAAAGCCCCAGAGGTCAGGCAGCTCAGTGCCTCAGTGCCCTCCAGAAAGGCAGACATTCTGGGAGGCTATCACTTTAAGAGCCGCAGGAAATCCTCCAGGTTTCATAACTGAGACAGCCTGCAGCATTTGGTCCAGCTGACACTGCAGTCGACTGGACTGCAGTGGAGGAGGGGCCAGTTGCAGGGGTAGAAGGGACAGCAGGTGCTGGGTATGCCTCCTGCTGTCCTTTGAAATGAAGGTGACAGTGTCCCTTTCTGGGGGGTGTTGGGAGTCCCCTCCTGGAGGGGAGAGAGCAGAAATTATAACCAGGGGACAGAGGGGCAGAGGCCAGATGAGTTCATACTGGCTGTCTTAAGTATCTCTTGGACAAAACCTTGAGGCTGCTTTAGGGATCCATGGAGAGAGCTCTGTGATCAACTGGCAATGTCTGTCTACTGGTCATCATTTTGGTCTTGTCTCTGGGCTTAGTTTCTTAGAGTCCCAAGGAAGTTCAGCTTGCCAGGGGGAGTGTAATCCCTCTTTGCAGCAGAACACCTGGCTTCAGGAGGGCTCAGTTCTCACTTCTTTCTTCACTGATGAAGCCCAATGCACAGACACTGAGAACTTGTCAGGAATCGGGGAGCTGCCAGGCATAGATTCTGGTCCTCTACCTCCCATCTTCTACCTAAGCAAGCCACTTAATCTTTCAGAACCTCCTTGTAACACAGATTTAATAATAACTGTGCTCTGAGCTTTCTGCCAAGATCAAATGAATATAAATACATGTAATGCTAATTACCCTCCATGTACCTTCCATCCACTCCAGATTTGGGTTTGCTTCTACAGTTTGCTGAGAGCTGCTGCGGCTGCTGCTGCGGGGCCCCAGCGGAATCAGGCTAGTCTTTGCTATTTTTGTTTTCCAGTGCTGGGAATGGAACCCAGGGCTCTGCATGTGAGAGGCAAGTTCTCTACCACCAAGCTACACCCCCAGGCTTCCTTTCTGCTAAATTTTAACCAAGAGTTAATTTGCATATGCAAATTAGACTTTGTGCTGTGGTCGGGGATTTCTTACAAAAGGACAAAGGAGAGATAACTGGAGAAAAGGGCTCTGTCCTCCTCTAGTGAGATTGGTGTCGCTTCCTCTGGCTAACTCTGAAGGAAACTTGGGGGGGGGATTAATTTAGCAACTTTTAAGTGGTGGGACTCACACTTAGTTTTATATGAATCCCATGCCTGTATTTTTAGGGAAAAGGAAGGAAGGGAGTAGGGGAAGGAGGAAGGAAGGACAGACAGAAGGCAGGCAAGAAGGGAGCAGAGGCTGCTGGGTTGAGGTGATAGCCTCCTATAGCCTTGGTTGGGTACCTGTCATAGCCCATCTGTCTGCAGGCTGTCTTGGCCAGTGCTTCTGTGAAGTTGTTAAAACAGGCAGAGGCCCAGGTCCCTGTGGCTACATCCAGCACCTGCAGTGTTGATTGGTCCTTGGAGAGGCGGACTAGAAGGGAAGGAGCCTGGGTCAGCTGGAGGGGGGAGCCTTTCTAGCCCAGCCCCCCTCCATTGCTGCTGCATTTGACTTTACTAAATACCAGTAAATATACATGAAGTCACTCAGCCCTGCCCCTCAAAGGGTCTCATTCTCTATCTTTTGGGCTAAGTGTTCATGGGCCTGTCCAAGCTAGCCGATCCTGGATTTTATGCTTGGAACATTTGTTTCTCCAGTGATCGCCCTCTATCTTGTTCCCTAGCATGTTCAGCAAACACTGTGAATACAAGGGTGGCTAGCTGGTTAAATGACATGATGATGTTCAATCATGATGGTCATGATTCTAGTCTCACTGAGATTCCAAAGAGGAACTGTAGCATGAATAATAAAAAAACAGAGATATTGGGGTTCATCCTGAAAATCAGAAAAGCAAAGCAGCCAAGCCACTAGAGAAGGCTTACCTCTACCAAGGCTGGGCAACCACAGACTCAGCAGACTAAACCTCTCTCTCCTCCCTTTTTATATTCCTTCTAGTGCTGGGATTAAGGGCATGTGACTCCCTAGGACTGGGATTAAAGACTGAACCACCACCACCTGGATTTGTTTCTCTGTTGATCTTGTGTAGCCCAGGGTGGCCTTGAACTCACAGAGATCCATTTGTCTCTGTCTCCCAAATCCTGGGATTAAAGGTGTGTGTCACCATTGCCTGACCTCTAGTTGGCTTCAGCTTTGTCTCTGGTCTTCAAGCAAGATTTATTTACTAAACTACAAATAATATGCCACTACAAGGAGTCCTCCAAAGCCATACACTCTATTCCTCTTGTCCAAACCAAGTAGGTACAGCCCACACAGCATTGCCCATCCTTTCCTGTCCCCTCACTGCCATGAATTAACCCTTTTTGAATGTGTGTCCTATCTCAGTGTTGGGATCTACAGGTAGGCATGCCATGATCCCGCTCCTGGGACCTTTTCCAGCAGGGCTAGAGACTGACAAGGATGTGGGCAGAGGCTACAACTGAGCACAGTTCTCCCACTGTTCCTGCCCTTCAGTCTCAGGACTCACCTGCCACTCCAGGCTTGTCGGGGAAGTCTTTGACACAATGCTCCTCATCCTCCCCCGAGGCACAGTCAAGGCGACCATCACACACCTGCTCCCTCGGAAGGAAGGTCAGGGGACTTCCGCAGATGAAGTAGTATTTATCCAGAACCACCTTGACTGGAAGGCACATGAAGCAGGGGCAGAGTCGGTCAAGCAGGCAGAGAGAGGCTGCCTTTTCTGAAAGTCAGGCTGGCTGGAGACAGGCAGCCAATTTGAAAAATAAATTTTTATTGTGTGAGGTTGTGTGTGTGACTGGAGGTCAGAGGGCAACCTTTGGGAGCTAGTTTCAGGTGTTTTATTACAATCACGGAAAGCTGACTAACATGGCCACATCAGGTTGGAACAATGTTGAGAAGAAATGATTTGGGGGTTTATACATCTCACAAACACCCCAGGCTCTCAAGGATCGAGGTGGTGTCTGAGTTGGGGATACCCATTGTTACTCTGATGAGGACCTGCTCAGCTGGAAAACTTGGGTCCTGCCTGTGCCAGCCTCTGTGGACTCCACGTGTGGAATAAAGGGTTAAAATAGAGGGTTTCTGTGTGTCATCCGATATTAGCCGCATTGTGTCTGCTGCTAGTGCAGATAGCCTCACAGCCCTAAGTACAGGCTGCCCAAAAACTGCCATGCCCGGGTTATGCAGGCACTGCCTACCCTGGGTCCCAGCTCTGCCTGTTACACACTTTCGGCTTTTAATCCAGGTTCTTCATACAAGGAAGCTCATTACTGCTCATGATGCTCAAAGGCATTTCATCGTAGAGGGGACTCGGCGGACTTCATGGACACACAGGTTCAAAGGATAGAACTGAGATCCCCACCCCTGAGTCCTAACCTTGTCTCCTATATTCTGAAATTCCCTGCTGTGAAAGCTGGGGTCAGTCCCTGTGAGAACCATGGGAATCATTGTCACAGACTGGGCTGCCCCAGATCGCATCAGAGCTAATGCGCTAGCCATTGTGAAGACTGCACTGAGGTGGGCAGAGGGTTCCATCTGCCTGGCCCTCTTCCCTGGTGCCGCCTGTCCCTCTCCTCTTTATAGGCAGAAATGCTCTCTAGCCTGCCGCCAGACAATATAGAGTTGCGCAGACACCCTGTTCAGCCCCACCCCACCCCGCCCCTCCACCAGCTGTCAGTTTGCAGAAGATCGGAAGGAGGTGGCTGGGGGTGGGCACCTCTGCAACTGCCTGAGTGGGTTTGCGATGGGTGCCACGTAGATAGCAACCATCTGGAAAAGAAGCCATCTGGGAGAGCCGGGGGATGCGCTCACCTTCCCCTTTCACTTAGAAGCCTCCCTCCAAGGCAGGGGTTGGCACATGAGGCATGAGGATTCATTCCCTCCTCCCAGGCTTTGCCCAGATCACCTGCCTATCACTGTGGGGGTGGGAGGGTGGGTGAGGGCTGTGGCTTACTGAGAGGGTGAGGGTGAGGGTGGGGGCTGTCACTCACTGAGAAGGGCTACGATCACGATAGCCATCAGGCTGAGCAGCACTGCGATGATGGGGATCCCCACCTTTTTGAAGGTCTCCAGGGACCTGCGGGGTTTGCGAAAGCCAGCGATATCTGCAAGGACAATGAGAGAGGGGAGGAGAGTGAGTCAGGCCTCGGAGCCCATCCCTGCCAAGGCCCATAGTCTTCTTTCTGCCCTGGGGCCTGTACCAGGATGCCCTGGTGATGGTTTAGGCTGGTGGGGATTATCCCTGTAGGCAAGGCTGAGATTTATGAACATGTATTCACCCACCTCCCCTCCCTTGCCTAGATTTACCGATCTTTTGTAAATCAGGCAGCTGAGCTGGCAGCCTGAACCACCTCCTCTTGTCTTGCCCTAGCTTGTGCAAGAGGATGTCACTCTTGCCTTGTCTGACCTGTCCCTGCCCTGGGAAGGACCCAAGATCACTAGCCATGTACTTGGGCCCCTGCCATGATATATATGTTATATTATCATTTATCCTTTCCTATTCTTGAATATATTTTTAATTGACACATATTTGTAAGTATGGGATATAACATTTCAACACAAGTATGTAATATATAATAAGATCAGAGTAATTATTATGTTTATCATGTAAGACTTTTGTGTGTGTGTGTGTGTTGAGAACGTCCAGAATTCTCTCACTGGCCCATTTAGAACATCAAATGTCATCAACCGTGGTCCTCCCCACTTCCCCAGTGCTATAGAACACTGGCACTTACTCCTCTTATCCAGTTGCTTCTCTGATAATTTTCTTTAAGCAGGAGACCAAGACTGTGTAGCTCAGGCTAGCCTCGGGTTCTACACATAGACAAGGATGACCTTGAACTTATGATCCTCCTGGTGTTGGAATCAGAGGTAGGTACCACCACTGGTTTCTGCAGTGTTGGGGATGGAACCCAGGATTTTCTGTACCCTAGGCAAACACTCTACTGACTGAGCTAAGCCCCCAGTCCTCTGCCTTCATTTTTTTTTTTTTGCCTCCCCACACAGTGAGCATGTAGCAGAGGCCTGATAATTCCTCGTGAGTGTATGTATCATATGCTCCCATCTCCTAGCTAGTCCAATACACAGCGAGGCCCCAATGTGGTCCTTGTGTTTAAGGAGAGTAGAGTCTGGAGAGGAGGCGTTTGTTTAGGACACTAATGGCAGCCAGCCAGGTGGAAGAAGGTGTGTGCCGGATTAGAGGCACTACCTGGAGACGGCTGGGGAAGGCTGGGGAAACCTTCCTGAGCAGGTAGTGCTTCAACACAGGAAGAAGACAGGAACACAGACATGGAGGGTGTGTGTGTGCTGTGAGTGTCTAGTGTCCTGGAATATGGGGACGGGGGGCAAAGCCTGTTGGGAGGCAGGACAACAAAGCCATTCTGTGGAGACTTGAAAACCATGCTAGGGTTTGGCATTTGTCCTGAAGGTAGTGAGGAGCCATTGAAAGTTCTGGACAAGAGAGAGTATGCGATTGGGCTGTCATCAGAGGAGAGCATTCGCCTGTCTGAGAGAAGAGGGTTGGAATGAGTTTGGGACTAGGGAGTTCACACAGGAGGCTACCACTGCCTAAAATTTGTAAAACAAACAACTACACACCCACTTCAGACAGTGTCATATCTGAATCTGAAACACTGCAACAGGCTTATAGTTCTCGATGTTTGGTTCCCAAATGGTGGGACTACTTTGGAAACTTCTAGGAACTTGGGAAGGAAAGGCTTAGCTGGAGGAAGTAGATTCCCCAAAGGCTGTATCTTTGAGAATCTATTTTCTTCTCCTACTTTTTATTTCCTTTTATGCACCCCATTTTCTGCAACATCCTGCGAATGGCTGCCGTAGCCTTTCCCACCAGGGTGCACTGAAACATTCTGGAACTGTTTCAAAATGAGCCCCGTCTCCACGAAGCTGTCTGTACCAGGTATGATGGTCCCAGGGGAACAGAGAGCAAATACACACGGCAATCCAAGGAGATGAAGCACGATAAGGCAGGGAAAAGCTCTCTGTCGGCACCACAGATAGGTGCTGGGTCTTTTCAGGTCCCTTTCCTTCAGGCAACGAACTTAGGAGGTGTTTTGGGGACCTTGCTCCCAAGGGGAGATGGGTAAGAAACACAGCAGCTCCGGAAACCTAGAAAGCAGGAGGCAGGCTGCCTTGCTCTCACCTCCTCAGGCCTACTCCCAGTCTCTTTCAAACCCTTTTCTCCATCTCCTTCCTGTGAGCCCATTCAGGAACTTCCTGTTCAAGATGCAACCATCCCACGCTTCCCATCACCCCCTTGCTCGTCCCCCCCCCCAAGCACTTATCTCTGACCTACTTTCAAACATTTTGTGTGTTTTCTCTCTCCTCCCACCCCTCCCTGAAATGGAAATGAAGCCACCATGAAGCCCATCTTGTGCACGGCTGCATCTCCAGCGCCCAGAGCCTGTTGCACCGCAGATGCCCAGTGAGTAAAATGGAAACGTTCCATTCTTGACTCTGTTCTCTTCAGAGAACACCCCGGTCTGTTTAGCTCTTGCTTTATTCTACCTCAGACGATACGAGGCTTGTGCCAGGCACCACCCCCTTTCTTCTGCTCCTCGGAAGCTGGGGAGACCAGTACCCCATAGATGGTGATATCAATGATTGTCAATAAGAAGGCTCAAACTTAAACTGGCCGGTGGTGGTGCATGCCTTTAATTCCAGCACTTGGGAAGCAGAGACAGGTGGATCTCTGTGAGTTCGAGGCCAGCCTGGTCTAAAAGAGCTAGTTCCAGGACAGGCTCTAAAACTACAGAGAAATCCTGTCTCGAAAAACAAAACAAAACAAACAACAAAAAGAAAAAAGAAAACAAAAAACTCAAACTTTGTGCTTCCCTAATGGGAAGTTTTAAGAGCACAATGGCCCAGCAGTGGGGATATGAAGATGATAGGGTATTGCCTGTAAATTTTTAGGGGCCTGACACAAAGCAGGTTATCAATAATGCTATAGGTAGTCCTTTTTTTTTTGTTGTTCTCTTTTAGTTTTTCAAGGCAGGGTTTCTCTGTGCAGCCCTGGCTGTCCTGGAACTCACTCTGTAGACCAGGCTGGCCTCAAACTCACTAAAATCCGCCTCCCGGGTGCTGGGATGACAGGCCTGCACCACCGCCGCCAGGCAGTAGTCCGGTTTTTAAAGTTTCCACACTAACTCTCCAGAAATATTCTGTTCCTGTGGCCACGAAAGCATAGCATTTTGTTCAATTATTCTTGCCTGATTTGTTTCTTGGACACCTGCTTCTGGGGACAGGAGACTGATTTGTTTTCTTGGATAGCGCACTATCTTTTGGAAGGAGTCACTTGCCTTGTGCCCAGGCTGTTCTCAGGGAAGACCTGCCTCCCTCCTCAGGAAGGGATAGGGTTTCACAGTTAAGTTCATAAATAGCCTCCCAGCCTATGCTTGTCCCTTCTTTGTCCTGCCTGTTGCTTCAAGACAAAGTTTCCAGGAAGGTGGCATTTACCCTGTCCCTTTCCTCTTGAGTGACACACAATAGAAGCTCCTGTCACTCACTTCTGGACTTCACTACTCTGAACCTTCTAAGCGGTGTGGTTAGCCTCAATTTCTGAGCCAAATGGGTGTCACTGCCAGTTTCAGCACCAGACCCCACTTCAGCACCTAGTCACCCGGGCAGGTTGACTTCCTGGTGTTATTCCTGACTTCTGACTTTCAGGAGCTCGGATTCCTCCCCTCCCCTTGCCCTCCCTCACCCTGGCTGTTGCTAGGTGACTGTCTAGCTAGCCTGGTTTACACAGCTAGCCCCCACCACTGTGGCCCAGGGCTTTCCTTTCAGTTTCCTTCCCCACCAGGTGTTTGGAGCCCATTCAGCTGTGTCCTGGTTTCACAGTGCTCGGGTTTGTTCATTGGCTGAGGCCCACACAGGAAGAGCCACGGGAAGCCTGGAGCTCTCTGGGGACCTTGTGGTCTACTGTTACGTTAAATTCCAAAGTACAAAGGAGGCCCTGCTTCTACTTAGCTGAGTTATTGTTTCTGACAATTATTAACTTGTGATGCAAATGAGATGTTAACCTGAGAGGGATCAAACCATTGTCTTCTGGATTTGTTCCCATTAATTTGTTCCCTGTTCATTTGTCTTGCTGGTGTAGAGGCCATCAGGAGTAGGCAGCAATGATTTAAGAAAATATACTAGGAGGTGGCAAAGCCCTTAAAATTGGGAGTGTTCTACGTATTCATTCATTTGTCTCCTTTAATCAGGAGCTCACAGCTACTTCCTTTCCTACCTGTAAAACACCAGTGCCCCACATTGAGCCTTGGACACCTGCTTCTGGGGACACGCGGTTGGGTAGCTGCAGCCCAATTCTGTGCAGCTCAGGGCCTGACACAAAGAATAGATTGGGGGAGTTGCTGTTTTTGGCCTTTTAGGCCTGCTGGTTATATTTCCTCAGAGACCAGACTTTTTCTAGAACAAATCCCGGAACTTATGAATACTTGGTACTTTTTGCTGGATGATGGACGGACAGGGGATTGATTGATGTCATGCATAGCATCTAGTACTACAGTGGCCGGGTAGCCGAGATTCCGCTGAGGGACCTGAGCTTACCATGGTTGTTCAGGGGCTGACCACTGTCTCGGTCCTGTAATTGATGGAAAAATGACAAAGTTAGTGAGGGGACCTCTGGGACTCAGACTAGCAGTGCCTGCTTCCCAACTGTAAGTATTTCCCACCCCCCCCCCCAGTTTTTTAAAAAATGATCACGTCTCACAGTAGATCTGCTGGGCCATCGAATCATAGATCAGCCTGTGTGTTAGTATCAGTGGATGTGACCACAGCATTGCTACAGTTTATACACCACTAGCAAGTACTTCATGTAATGGATGGATGAACCGATTGATGGATTCGTAGCACAACAGCATTGCCGGGAAATGGTGGAAGTTTGGAAGCGGAGCCTCATTGGTCATGGAGGCAGAAAGGGTTTCCCTGTGCTCTCTTCCTTGTTCAAGTAGCCTAAAAAGTGAGTCAATTTTCACTCCTCACCCCCTCTTGCCTAAGTACATGCAGCTAAGTACACGGCAAAGCCCTCTGAATCTGTGAGCCAGATCAGTCTTTCCTCCTTGAGGCTGCTTCTGTCGAATACTTTCTCACAAGAACACGAGCGTAACCAACACAAAGCTCGTACTAGATGTAACGTCATGGATGAACTTCATGACATACTGGTGGAAGAAAGAACTAAACACAGCCAAGTATGCATTGCTTAATGACATTGTTACGGAATTGGGAGGTAAAGCTTAGGGGTGCTAGCAGTCAGAACAGGGGTTGCTACTGGTGAAGTGGGGTCCTTATAGGAAGAAGCACAATGGAATGCTCTGGAATATTGAGAAACTTCTACAACTTGCGTGGGTGTTGACTACATGGTGTTTACATGTTGGACCCTCACTGAGAGGAGTATTCCCTGAGTGGTTTGCTGCATGTGGGAATGTACATAATAAAACAGGCAAGCTCAAGCAAAAGTCTACCAGGATCCTAGGACATTCGTTCTGTAGTGACACACTTGCACAAACACACGCACAGGCATTCCTGCACTGCTCACCCACTTCCCATTACACTCAATGTACACACAGTTGTAGAGAATCAAACGTGGGAGCTGCCTACGTAAAGGCTCACATGCAAAGCACGTTTACTCCTTTGTAACATGAACGGGGGGGGGGGGAGTTGTTTGTTTATGTTTTCTGTCCTGAGAAAATCACACATAGGTCTCCATAAATTATAAACTGATTGGCCCATTAGCTCTAGCCTTTCACTGGCTAACTCTCACATCTTGATTAACCCATTTTTCTGGTCTATGTTAGCCATGTGGCTAAGTACCTTTTTTCAGTGTGGCAGATCACATCCTGCTGCTTTGGTGGTATGGGCAGGAGTGGGAGGAATCAACTTCCTCCTTCCCAGAATTCTCCTGTTTTCATTACATCATTTCTACTTCTTGTCTAATTTTCCCACCTTTATTTCCTACCTGGCCAATCAGTGTTTATTTATAATATGATTGGCAGAATACAGACAAATCTCCCACACCACTCCTTTACCTACAGGGAAGGGTCAATGGGAGGCTGATACCCAGGCTTCCATTTGTAGGGTGATAAGGGCCAAGGAAAAGCACCCTGACCCTGACTTGACCCCATGACCAGGGCTTGGAATCACACCAATCCCTGAGCTTGCCACAGAGTCAGGCTGCAGAATCCCACCAATCCCTGAGCATAGAATTCCACCAATCCCCGGGGTCCCTTAACTCCAAATGCCACTAATCCCTGAGCCCTCTCCAGAATCAGACCACCAAAATGCACCAATCCCAAGCCACCTTGGAAAGTTCTGCCCCTCAAGAAATGCTATGTAAGGTCGGTACCCTGACCAGTTTGCTATTGTTTCTTACCCAAGGCAGCCACCCTCCTTCCTTCCCAATAAGTCTTCTGAGTGGGGGTTGTTGTGTGGTGTGAAGACCAGCTGTAACAGTTTTTACTGAAGCTGGAGCAGTGCAGAATTGTAACTCTTTCACTGGGGAAACCTTCCCCTCGTGGAGCAGAGTTGTTACACTCATGGGGACCTGAGCAGAGCTGTAATAGCTCTACTAGAGAAACCCTGCTCCGCCTGGGCCGAACTGTGACACTGAGGAAACCTTTCCCTGAAGCAGGGTTGAAAGCCGCTAAGCTTACAGTGACTTTATGGTATTCCTTGGCTCCCAACTGCCAAAATACTTTTCCATCCCAGCCGCAATGATTACACCATTCTCTGAATACTTTCTAGCATCTCAGAACCTTCATGATCTTTCTGTTAAGGTCTGGTAGAGGATAAGGTGTCCCTGAGCCCTGTCTGAGCTTTAAGCCTCTACCTAGGGTCTGGTTTGCTAATACCGTATGGAGGTCATGGATACCCAATGATGATGGGAGGGTGTTGTACATTTCCTACTGGGGATTTTTCTGGTCCCGACTGAGAGTGAAAGGCTTCTTCTTAAGCCTTGGATGTGTGGGAATCCTAGGCTGGTTACGGGGACATACCTGCTCTCATGATTAAACATGGAACCCCAGTGATAGGAAGGAAGCTCCTTCCTGACTTCTGTTCCTTCTAAATTTGGGTCTGCAATCTCCTGGAGAGGTTTTGCCCTTTGATGTCACTGCGGACAGCTGGTAAGATAGACCACAGGCTCTGATTCCTACTGTTTGGTGCCTTTGGGCAAGAAATAAAGGGAGCTTTCCAGTGGCCAGCTCACACCTGGGCAGCTCTTCCTGTCTGCCCATCCTCTGTGCTTCTACAGGCCTTCTCTGTTTGGACAGTCATCATTTCTCGGTCTTTGTCTCTTTCTATTTTGTTTTTCTTTAAAATTTTATTTAGAATAGACAAATAGAAATTGTATTGATCTCGGGGACTGGAGAGATGGCTCTGTGGTTAAGAGTACTGACTGCTCTTCAAGAGGATCCTGGTTCAGTTCCCAGCGACCACATGGCAGCTCACGACTGTCTGTAAACTCCAGTTCCAGGGGATCTGGCACCCTCACACAGACATACATGCAGGCAAAACTCCAATGCCCATAAAATAAAATGATAATCTTAAAAAAGAAGAAGAATAAAAAAATTGTATTGGTCTCTTTTCTGTGTTAAGCATTTGGCTTGTGCCTACAAAAGACTGAACTGATCTCTAGGCTTCGCTCATTCCCAGTCTCTCCTTGGTCATCACCAGGCTGGACAGAGACAACAACTTTCAGGATGAAGATGAGAACAGACCAGGGTACCTGGCTCTACAGCTACTCAGTCAGGAGATAACGACATCAACAGCAGTGCACACACAAACTGGCAAAGTCTTTTCATTCAACTTACAACCAGATTAATAAGTACTGAAACTGAGCGTGTGGTAACCAGAGTGGCTAGCATTAAATTAGCTAAAGTAAGTAGATGTATGAAGAGTGTCCACACTGTGCCAGGCCCTGATCCAAAAAGAAACTGGAGTCAAAGATCAATAAGCGTTCATCTTAGCAGACTGGGAGAGGTGCCCAAACCAGATAACCGAGTGCTATATCCCTTGGAGGGCCTGGAGAGGATGGACCACTCCCGAAAATAAGCCAGGAAAAAAACCCCACAGGTTTGGGGCAACTTTCAGAGGAAAGCAGATGGAGAAGAGGGAGTGTCTGGATGGAGACAGGTAAGGGTCAAGGGAAAGGGTCAGAACAGTTAGGGAGGGTTTCCCAGGAGAGGGCGCGTCTGAACCGTGACTGGAATGATGGAAAGGGGCCAGCAATATGGAGCAAGTGTGAGGTGATGGAGGAGCTACATAGAAGTTGGCAAGTTTGGAGGGGAGGCAAAGGTACAAGGGAAAGGGAGGATTCTGTATGCGTTCGGAAGATTGAGACTGGCTTTCCCAGTGGGCTGGGTGCCTTTGGGCTTCAGTTAAGCAGGGCAGGGTGTCTGCTGGAATGTGGAAGGCTAGAGGAGGTTGTAGGGTACCAAGAGCATGTATTCAGCGGGCCCCTCCCCTCAGTTCATCCCCTTTCATGGCCTCTACCTGTGTATACATGCCTAGATCAGTTAAGGCAGGTAGGATGAGGTCCCTTTGTTTTCTACTAATTCAGCAGGCATCGACTGTACCCACGATGGGCAAGAGATTATGCTAGAAGCCCAGACACAGAGGGAACAAAGAAGATGTGCAGTCCACACCTTTCTCGTCCTTGGGCGTTTACCATAAGCTGAAGTGGCCTGAAACCTCGAGGTGGGCAATGCTTCCACCCGCAGCCTACTTAGTTGTGGACATCCAAACGTTCAGAACTCATTTATAAACAGAGACAGGGAAAAGAGAGGGAAGTCAAAGTCACAAGTTGTAATCTTAAAGGACCATGACTGTCCTGTTGGTCACGCACCCAAACTCCCCTTCAGTGCGTGGGGTCGAGAGAGTGCTGAAGGAGCGCTCGATGAGTCAGTTAACGAGCCTGTCTATCTCAGTTTTAAGACTTGACTCAGGACAGCCTTTAAGAATCTGCCTGTAAATAGAGTCACACAATAAAATACCACACGGAAGTCAAAATAAACGAACTACAAGTTATATCACATAAAAATGGAACATGGGCAACTGAATGGCAAGGGCAAAGTCCAGCAGGTTCCATGTAGCCCAGAATCCTTTGCGGGAAGAAGCAAAGCAATGACGGACATGGGACCTCGGGGTAGGCAGTGCTTCCCTCTGCAGAGAGCCTTTAACACCGTTCCTCCGAAGTGCAGACAATTTTTGTTAACTTAATAAGCAAAGAGACTTGCCTACCTACCGCAGCAGGGCATGCGTGTGCATGTGAGAGGCAAGGAAGGATCTCATGGTTATATAGAAGTTACCGCTAAGTCTCAGTTTTTGTGTAGATGCGTGGAGGTTTATTATCTTCTTGAACCAAGTGACTAGCTAAGGCATTACTAACAAACCCTGTGTGGGTCAGTAGTGAAGTGTGAGCATGGATCAAGGCGCGGTCTAGCTAACGCTGTGTGCTCAAGGTTCTAAGAGACTAAAAGGCTGTCACCTGCCTGTGATTTGGAGAGCCCGGCTCTTGTCCTCATGGTGCTACGCTGTAGCCTCTAGTTCTCCTATTTAGCGGCTCATTCCCTGCCCTTTCTTGAA